AGCTTAAAATCGAATATAATTTTTTTTATCAAAATCTTCTGAACATTTTGGTATATCAAAAAATTGATACTAAGACAATTTCATGAGCACGAAACAATAAATAAATGATTTAAAAAGCATTCGATTCGTGCTGATTAACTTTTGGCAAAAGCAGGTTTTGGGGATACGTGCAAAAAATGCCTATTTAGTTTGTGAGAGAACGGAGCGTCCAATTCAATTGAATGATTGAAAAAACATATTACTTGTATTGACGTAATGTAAAATTGACTACATTTGGTTTTTAAGATCCAGAAATATTTTTAAAATAAAATCCATCGGTGTATGCGGCGTCATTGCTGTGTTATCCGTGTGTGTAGTATAGAATCTGTAGAATTGCCTGATGGCACAACAATCGAAATTTATACCATAAAATGCATATAAAATGTTACTCCACTTATGCATATTAATTGTTTATGTACCTAACAACTACAACATATATAACTAAAAAAAGTATAAAAAAGAAAGAATATTGTGAACTTAACATAAAGTCCTTAGAGTTACCTGATAGCACAATTGCACAACCAAGCCTAAAGTATAATTCCCATGAGAGTGTGTAGAATAAGCATTTTCATAATAAACATACATAATAGAAGCACGTACTTAAAATTTACTCATTAATGTTCAAAACGAAGCAAACACGCGACAACGATAACAAAATGATAACGATACTAAAAGAGTATCGGTGGCATTGTTGAGGAAACATGAACGCGCGAAATTTAAAAAACATCAACAACCATACGAATGGAGTGGTTAAAACCAGAATAATCTCTTATCGTACTCATATTCACGAGTAGAAAACGAGATTTTTTTGATAATGCATTGAATTTATGCATTGCAATTTGATATTCATAATATGATTTGCACAGATCAGATAAGTAGACTGTATTGAACGCTAACAAAAACTGCATTGAGAGCACATAATTATGAGCAATGAATCTAAAGCAACTATCAAATAATATAATCTTGTATTTCATAGTCAATCATAATATTACTTCCAGAAGAAGTTTACATAAATTTAAAACAAACAAAGTATAATTTTATATTTTTATTTCTTCAATATCAACTGGTTTTGCTAGCTATGTGGGGTTTTACAGATTCACGTTAAGCAAAAAAAAACTTAATATAATTGTATTTTACACAGTGCTAGCTATGCCTAGATTAACTGTTTTGTCTGAATGTTGGCATGAGTGATAGTATGATCTTAGATCTTACATAAGATTAGCTATGGGTGGATGATAATAACTAAAGAGTAATGAATATATAGTAACAGAGGAGCGGTTATAAAGAGATTATAGTGAGATACGTGTATAGTGCTAAAGAGACAAATAATGCAATAGAGAGAGTTATTTGAGACAACAAATGAGTATTAAGAGATAAAGTGAATTATTATAGGACTGTTAAAAAGTTAGGATAGAATAGATCAGGGGTCGGCAACCTGATTGCCGTTAAGGGCGCAAAACTAAATCTGAAAATTACCGAGGGCGCATCGGTATGAAAAAAAAAAAAATTTCATAACTTTATTCTCTTAGTTACTAAGACTTAATATAATATAATATATACATTATGAACAATCAGTACATCGATATAAGAAGAGTATGATTTAATAATACCTAATTATATACACATAATTTAGTGTGAAACTTGTGTGTCCGTATTTTCAGCTATTTTTTATAATCGGGAATATAATTAAAGTTCCCTGTCCGCAAACAGTTATCTAAATGTGTGTCATTTAACTTTGTTCGGTATTTTAATTTCAAATATTTCATATTTGAAAACAAAGACGCGCAATTGTATGTTGTTGCACAATATGAGTAAATTTTTAGCGCACATTTCCTTAAAATAGGATACGTATTTTCATTGACTTCCAAAACATTTTATCATTACTATGTGCTTTTAAAATAATATCATTTTGTAAGTTAATTTTTTCTAACTCCACGTCTTCGATATTATTAATTTCGAAATACACTGAAACACTTTGCAGAAGATCATCTTCGGCAACTTTGAATGGGTTTATAAAATATCCTAGAACAGGTTCTAGTGCTGCGAAATCTTGAACAAAACTCTTCTGCCAATTTGACTATAACTTCTAAATATGATGTAGTAGTAAAATTTTCTATATTTATTTTTAGACTTACAACAATATGCCTTATATTTGGAAAATGTGAAATTGATTTATGCTAAGGTTATCATACATTTACATTAACCGAGGGCGCATCTAAAGTTGATCGGGGGCGCCATGGCCTCTGGAATAGATCATACATGTCGATTAGAAAAAAAGAACTTGTGGTGCATAGCATCGCGTCGTAAGTTAAATTGCTAGAACTTTCTGTATCGAAAACTAAATTAATAAGAAAAACTTTGCAAAACTTTGAAAAAATTAGATTATCAAGAAATTTTGAAATTTTTGAAAAAATTGACTTTTTGAAAAAAAAAAGTTTTTTTTGTATTTTGATCTTTTTTTTTAATTTTTTAAGTTTTGAACTTTTTTTTAAGCAATCGCGCTGCATAGATGGTTTGAGGTCGCAATATCAAAGCGCGTAGGCTCCGCGTAGTCGTCTAATGTGTACGGAACCCATATAAATGTACGGAACCCATATAAATGTATTTGGTACGGAACCGATATAAATTATATGGGTTTAATATAAAAAAAAATATATTATATAAATTTCCGCCGAAAATTTTTTTAGCACTTTATTACAAGAAAGCGGCCCGGCCGATCTTTACCAAAAACTAATCAGATTCCCAATCAATATCTTTCGAACGGTTTTTGAATTTTCAAAATCGATTCAGAATTGCAGGCTAAAACGTGGACGAAAAAATGTTCACTTTTCTGCTATTTACAAAGAAGGGGCTTGGCTGAACGTCGCGCAAAATTGATAAACGCTAGTCCTCATATATCGAATGGCTTTTAAATTTTTGAAATCGGCCCCAGTCGTTTTTGAGAAAACGTCGATTTACGGCATAAAATCTGTTCACATACACGCACATACATACACCACACACACATACTTTTTCCAAATTTGGTCTCATTCGATTCAGAATGTCTTGAAACGTCGAGAAAACGTAAAATTAGCAAATCGGATTTTTTAATGTTAATTGATTTGATTGATTTTCTGAACATAATCTTCTCCTTCGGGAAGTTGATATAGATTTAAAAAAATTAACTAAAGTTAATTGGTAAAATGTTTTACTATAAGTTAGATATGCAAAAAATGAAAAATTTTCCATTGTTTGACGATTACTATAACATGCATAGGTGAATAAGAAAACGTTGAAGAGTAGGAGAAGAAACAATATTACTGATGGCCGAACTGAATCTTCACTCAATAAAATCTGTAGAAAAGTAGTTGAAAAATTCCGAACTGGTCTGACATTAAAAAAAACGCAAGTCAGCTAAGTGGGAAATCTAAGTTTCAAAAAGTTTCTGAAACAAGTTTTTGGCGAAGCATATCTACGGATCTAAGGAAGGACTGAGACAAAACATAATTCGGAAGTGTTGTCAGAAATTATGTTGGAAAAGATAATTTTGATCGACAAATAAAGCTGTATCGCAAAAAATCGTGAAGAATTTAACCGACTAAAGGAATCTGGATCGAAACAATATCGGAAAAAGATTTCTTTATGCACGACATCAAAATACGTAAAATAGATGGAGTTAACGAAAATTACTAATATGAGGATGAAGGATGCAGATCATAGATGACACTCCAGGTTGTGAAACAAAATGCAAACGGCACAGCAGCGCAGGAACAGAAGATCAATAGATAAAAAGCGAAATATAAAGAAGAAAATGGGAATGCTCTTAGACCAAAGACTTTATATTTAATTTTTTTTTAATCGATTTATTAAAGTTATACGTAAGATTGGCAAAAACAATTTACCTAAAACGCAATACTGTTCCGTAAATACTGTACCAACTTCTAACATACAATATCATGGATATCCTTTCTTACGCACTATACCATGTATAACTACTGCATATAGTCCAGTCATTTGGTCGTTTTGCCGGTACAGTACTCCGGGAATTCTGAAAATTGGTAATCTTATAGATTTCGAGGTGCTCTTCACGAAAATCAACTTTGCCACCTCAAATTTGAACGGCAAGTTGCCGCCATATTGAAAAAATGGCGTCAAAAAACAGCTTTTTTAAAATATCTCCTTTCTGGCTCATTCTACTATAAAAGTATCTATGTACGAATTAAACTAGAGAAAATTTCCTACAATTCTTTAGAAAACCGTTTTTTTGTAAAATTGATAGTTTGAGAGTACGGCCGCCTCAAAGTCTTTGCTGCTCTCGCCGTAGTATCAAATCTGTCCATATATGACAGCACTTCGAACTTGACCACATTCTCTCTAATAATTAATATTTTCAATGTTAAATTAAGCGAATAAGATCTAGAAATAGAATAATTCAAATATTTTTCTGTTTTTTTGCTGATTTTTTAACGCTTCAAGCTACTTGACGCTATAAGGTGCTACTCAAGCTATAAGTATATTTATAGCTACTTTGCCATTGAAGTGTTAAAAAATTAGCAAAAAAAAAACGAAAAATTATTGAATTATTTTATTTCTAGATCTTATTCGCTTAATTTAACATTGAAAATATTAATTATTAGAGAGAATGTGGTCAAGTTCGAAGTGCTGTCATATATGGACAGATTTGATACTACGGCGAGAGCAGCAAAGACTTCGAGGCGGCCGTACTCTCAAACTATCAATTTTACACAAAAACGGTTTTCTAAAGAATCGTAGGAAATTTTCTCTAGTTTAATTCGTACATAGATACTTTTATCGCAGAATCAGCCAGAAAGGAGATATTTTAAAAAAGCTGTTTTTTGACGCCATTTTTTCAATATGGCGGCAACTTGCCGTTCAAATTTGAGGTGGCAAAGTTGATTTTCGTAAAGAGCACCTCAAAATCTATTAAATTACCAATTTTCAGAATTCCCGGAGTACTGTACCGGCAACAGCCTTTTTTTGCACCAAATGACTGGACTAATATTTTATTTCAGAACTATATCTTTTAGTGCATTATCTATCCTTTACCCCAGTAGATGTCGCTGGATCCCAACCAAACACAATAATTTTTAACAAACTTTTTTGAATTCATCCTCACCTAGATAATTCTGCAAATATTGTAGATACCTGGTTTAACGTATCCATGGTTTCCGTGTTCCGAGTTCCTAAGATATTTCTCTTTCACTTCGCCAGGAAGATCGCAAAATTTGTCCAAAGTTGAGTAGACTTTCGTCAACTGTAAAAAAGGATGATGTAAGTTTATGTGACGAATGTGAATGTAATTTTAAATTATGTATAATAAGATAATAGAGATGAGAAAAACATTGGAAATATTGGGAACATTTGGATACATTTAATTTAAAATCTTTTTTTATTTTTCTTTGTTTCGGTTTTGAGATTTTTTGATATTATGAAAGCTAAAAACCTTAGAATTATTTAAAAAAAAAATCATCTCAATATCTATTTTTTGACGAAGTTATAGATATATATATCTCTATATGTATGATCCTCTGAAAGCGTTTTTTTATCGCTCCGCGAGCTGTTGTATGCCAGCTGCCTCTTTTTCGTTATAATACCTCATGCACATGACATTTTTAATGTGTCAGCATCTTTGAACACCATGGTGTATTTAGTACATTAAATTAAATGGTATATTTAGTACATTATATTGAAAACTTTAAATACGTTTTTCTCAAAATGACTTTTTTCAATGCGGTGCCACAAATTAAAAAAAAACGGATCGACTTGCATTTTTTCTTAATTTGTTCAACACTGCAATTACGCAAAAAAATTTTGCGAAGCTTCTCGCCCCAAAAAAGGCCTTTTTTGACACTTTTTTTAAAAATAGCTGCCATTTTTTTCCTTCTTGCTTTTGTTCTTTCATTTTGATAGGTGGACTGGATTCAAACTTCTTCTTCAACGTAGTTACTTTTTTTTTGTTTCGGGCGATGCGCAACGGATTTATCTGTGGCACCGCAAAAGAGATCGATTTTGCAAGACCGACTTTGGCGGCCCCTGGTTAAAAAATGACGGCGCAAAAAAAAGAAGAAAATCACGTAATATTCTATGATTTTGTAATTTTTTGTTTAAAAAAACCGCATGTCTCTATGATAAATACATTTCGAGAAAAACAAAAACAAATACCTTGCATTTTTTGTAACAAAAAAAGAACAACCCCCTTAAAGCCTCAGATAGGAGAATTGAAAGCAAAATTACAAATTTTCATTCGAATAGTTTTTCAAACCTTTTCTTCTGGGATGCCATGGTTGACCAGAAGAGCCAAACCTTTCTGCGAGAGCGCCTTCTGTAACTGCGCCCCTACGCGCATTATCACCGATTTCATTGGACACGCATCGGTACCTACAAAAGAAACCATTAGATAAATAATGATTAATATTAATAGTAATATATAATAGTATTGATAGTAAATATAATTGAAGTGTTTCAAATACAATTGCTGTTACTTCCAGTTTTATAAACAAATTAATTATTAATAGTAATAAAATAATATTTAAGATAGCGATATTAATAATAACTAAATAAAATTTTAGATGGTGCTTAAATTACGCAAATTATTTTCATTTTAATTTTAAAACTTTTTGAAAATTCTCAAAAATTTAGAAAAATTTTACATTCGCCTGGACCTGCCTTTCTCAAAAACTAATCATTTCTTCATACTGTTAACACAAGCAAAATGTTTTTCCAATTATTCTAATCGGTTATCAGTTCTTGCGCCGTACCTCCGAAACGGCTAGATCTGCCCTTCGCAAAAACTAACCAGTACGTCTCGCGGTCAGTACAAAACGAATGTTTTTTTGAATCATTCAAGCCGATTGATTCACGTAAAAAACATTTGTTTGACTTATCAGTTTGACTTTAACTAGTCGTGCATGACATTGTGTCTTAAGGCAAATTGCTTGAACTTCCCACATCGTAATTAAATATTCGAGAAATTTTAAATGTTAAACTAATCAGCACGTCTCCCCATAAGTAGGAACGGTTTGTTTTTTTTTTTTGAATAATTCAAATCGGTTGATCTGTGCGCCCGAAATCATTGACGAAAACTTGTATCCAACAATACACACAAGCGCGCAGACACACGCACATACACACATCCTTTTTTTCTAAAGTATGCCAAAATGTTCAGAAACCCTGAAACGTAAAGATATGCAAAACATGGAAAATTTTCCATTTTTGGACTATTAATATACATGCACTACGGGCAGTTAAAAACTAGAAACTTTGGTATGGTACCCAAAAAATGGAAACAATATATATATAATAAAAATTATTACAATTAATCAGTTTAGTCACGCCTCCATTTATATACTTTTTTATAAGAGTCTAATTTTAAAAAGATATACATTTATTGGGCTACAAAATAATATACAGTAAAAATCTACATAAAAATAATTATTTATTAATTATTTACTAATTATTTTTTTGACACCAATTCGACATTTTAACTTCCCGTAGGGTAAGTTATTGTAATCGTCCAAAAATCGAAATCGAAAATTTTTACATTTCTCGACGTTTTGAAGGTTTCTGAACATTATACTTCAGACAAAATGGATGTGTGTGTGTGTATGTATGTATGGATACAATTTTTCGTCCACGTTTTAGGGCGCACGGATCAACCGATTTGAATGGTTCAAAAAACATTCAATTCCTATCGATAGGAGATGTGTTGATTATTTTTTGGCAAAGACAGGTCCAGCAGTTACGGAGATAAAGAGCAAAGAGTGCAGAAAATAAAAATTGAGTTTTTGAGAGAACGGAGCATCCGATTTGAATGATCCAAAAAACATTCATTTGGAATGACGTGGAGAAGTGGTGATTAGTTTATGGCTAAGGCAAGTCCAGCGGTTTTGGAGATACAGAGCTAAATGTGCAAAAAATGGTAGTTTTTGAGGGAGCTAAGCGTCCGATTTCATCAGATTTTATTTTTAATTCTGACTAAATTTCTAATATACTTTACAACAAATAATTTTAATCTATAATCTAATAATCTATTTGTAAACTATTCCTTGAACATTTCGTTACGGTACGGGAAGTTCCAGCAATTTGCCTTAAGGCATGATGCCTTAATTGCCTCAAGACAGAATTCCACTTACAGCTAGTTTTGTTTTGTTTTATAATAATTTTTACAACTGTCCTAAAACGGACAACAACTAAAATATTTGATATAAATCAGAAGGCGTGGAAAAATACAACGGAAGGCGGAAGTCTGACCATTGCAGTGATTTGTAATTCGAATATTGCAGAAGAAAGTTTCTTTTTAATCTGGCCCTGGTAGAGTTGTTGTAAAGTTTTCTGGCATGCAAGTTTGGGTGATCAGATCGACAATTTTTATATTTGTTTGAGTGCTAGTGCTTGTGCTTTGCGTATTAACCAATTTGGAATATATTTTGGTGGTTTCAAAATTTCTTTTAATAATTTGCAAAACATTGAATATTGTAAAAAATAATTTATGAAAGTGATAGAAACGCACAATCATAGTCACATATCATTATATTATTTTACCGTCACTGAAGTTAAGATATTTTACAATTTCTAGCTGAATGATCTAGCGTCCAAAAGTTTAAATAAATGCCAATATTTATTTATTTTTTCAATTCAACGTATTGGCCATTATATTATTACAATTTATTAATATGTTTTTAAACGCCCAAAACCAATCAAGATATATATTTCAAAAATTTCATGCAAAACTTTGCACCTTGCAATTATATAACCGTCTCTATTTTTTATTAAAATTATCGATTGCAAGCACGTTGTTCATAATAATAATCGGTTACGCTTGATTTGTTGTCTTACACGTAGCAATAATAATAAACAAATACACGAATAAATAATAACAATAGCATTAACGTTATCAACGTTATGCATTTAAGTGTTTTACATAATTAAAATAATATGCGCAGCATTTTTAACTGTAAAAACATGGTTCGCCATTAAAAAATGATTAAATAATGTGGCAATATTTTAGAAGAATTCTTTGTACAAATATTTGTCTGTCAAATAAACATAATCCGTAGGCGACAAGGATGCATCTTCAGTTTAATAAATGATCATATAAAGATCATTAAATTTTTATAAATGGTTATGATAAAAGTTCGAACAATGGCACAGTGGTATCAATAATAAAATTAATCTAGGTGTAAGTTTCTTGCATTAAGAAAATTGTCAGTATTTCTGTAGTACAATAGAACGCATACTGTAGTATTAGATCAGTTCGTTCAATTTTGGACTCTATCAAACATGCCAGATAGATATATCAACAAATAGATTAAATGTTGTAAACTATTAACTTTCCCTAGAGTAAGTTATTGTAATCGTCCAAAAATCGAAAAAATCGAAATTGAAAAGTTTTACATTTCTTCACGTTTTGAAGGTTTCTAAACATTTTGGCATACCTTAGCAAAAATGGATGTATGTATGGATACAATTTTTCGTCCACGTTTTCGGGCGCACGTTATAACCGATTTGAATGGTCCGAAAAGCATTCGATCCCTATTGATAGGGAGATGTGCTGATTAGTTTTTGGCAAAGGCAAGTCCAGCCGTTTAGGAGATACGGAGTAAAGAGTGCAGAAAATAAAAATCGAGTTTTTAAGAGAACGGAGCATCCGATTTGAATGATTCAAAAAACTTGCTGCTTGTTTTGACAAAATAATTTGCTTTTCGAAACATTTTTTTTTTCAAATTTTTTTTTCCAAATATTTCTTCTCAAAAAAATTTTTTGTTTGCATATCGAAAATGAACTGAAGTTCTAAAGCTCACTTATATACTTTAAAACAATAATTTTAACTTTGTAATTCAGTTTATATAACTCTTATAAATATTAGACAATGTTACAGAACTTATAAGGATCTATATGAAAACATTCAATATTTCTCGAATATTTCGTTACAGTACGGAAAGTTCCAGCAAATTGCATTAAGGTACGATGCC